GTGCTGCAAAGCAATGAAAGATGAAAGTCTGGGCTAGAATGGCAAAGTCTGTGTTTGAACTGATATGTATTTTGTACCATCTGAGGTCCCTTAATTGTGCATATGCACTCTATAAAACTAACTTATCAGTGTGAGGGTCTATGAGCTAAGAAAAATATGCCTTTACACTGAATCTAAGCAATTATAAATTAATTGTGATGTTCTTGAGTATAATCGGTAGAAGATAAAGTTCCTGTCCCATCCAAGTACATGAAACTATTGTGGAAATACTGAATGAGCCACCAAGGTTATGAATATTTTCAAAACACTGGGTAGCAGATGAAATTACCATAGATTTTTCTGGATGTTGAAATCAGGATGGGACTGACTTGCTAAATCAATCATGATATATTTCTAGGATAGGAGTGTGTAATCTTATCAAGCCAAGAAAAAATGTTGCAAGATGGATTTAAAGGAAAAAAAAATAGTGAAATAGCTTTGAAAACCAGGGGCTTATTTGACCTCTCATTCCCTGCAATGTTGATACTCACCAGTGACCGGAAGTTGCACATTCAGCTCAATGACCCCATCAGTTCAGCCCTGAGAGGAACTGTTGACTGTGGTTCCAGAGCTTCTCTGTTGGAGCCTTCAATAAGGTGCTCATATTTTTTTTTTTCTTCATTTTGATTTAGGGAGTGCACAGAGGAAGAGGGAGGGAGAGGAGGGAAGAGAGGGAGTGTAGTGGTTAGGAGCTTAGCTTGGGCTCAGGCTTGTTTGGTTTGAAACTGAGCTGTACCACTTACTAGTCATGTGACCTTGGAGAGTTTAACCTCCTCGTGTCTCAAATGCCTCATTTTCAGATAATAAAGCATTGACCTCTTGTTGCTATAAAGACTAAAATGAATACATATCTCTTAGCACAGGGTTTAATCCATAGTAAATATGCAAATATAAGGTGTTATTTTTATGTTTGGTACCAAGATAATAATAAAATGGTTGTTGTTTTATGCTACCATGTGATTCGTTGCACAGCAATAGATAAGGAAACTGTTGGCTGGACCTAATTCTAATCTCTCAGGTGTGTTGGGCCTTCCTTATAGAGAGTAGGAATTCACTCATTCTCTTGTGTTTCAGCACAAGTTTGGGGTGGGGTTGGGATAAAATAGTTATATTTTCCCTGAAGAAATGACCTATTAATTGGTTGAACTGGCCTATCTGTGGTAAAGGCTTGGGAAAAATTTTGTTGTTGTTGGTTTTTATTGTTGTTATTATGGTAGAAGTGAGTCAAGAAAGGGGAGACGGTGACTTCTCTAAGTGTTTTTTTTAACAAAAGCCTTATAATCAGATTCTAACCCTAACCCTTTTCCTATATGAGAAAGTACTCAAAAGATGATAGTTTTAACTAGTTGGCATGCTCACATTATTCACCTTTGAGATTCTTTTCTGAAAGTACCTTAACCAGCTTGGTGCAGTGAATCCTGAATTGCTACTCACATGTCCTAAGGGACATCACTGTTTAATATAACACGGATATGGATGGTGGGGGCGGGGGGATTCATAGTTCTCATTCCCTGTAGCCAAACAAGGAGATTCAAGATGGAAACGTGTTTCAGTGAATATGTCCTGCGTTCAAGAAATCAAAACAAATACCAGTAGATACTTTTTGGTTTATGAGGGGGAAACTTTCTTTAAAAATTAGATCTGTTGAATATTGACTAGCTGGTTCTTTACTACTCCAGCTGTGCAAACTGGATGACCCACAGTCTGGAGGAGGGAGAGGGAAAGACCTGCATTCTGGGTGTCGGAGGGCAGATTGTAGTAGCTGACCTGGAAAGTCACCCCCGTTCTGTGTTTTATGAGATACAATATGATCATTGAGCATCAGTCCTTTTCTTTCCTGCTCATTCTATTCAAAGTATTGTGAGATGTTCTAATCAATGACGGGTGTGTTTATACTGCTTTTGACTGGGAGAGCTACGGTCAGCTGCACCACTGTGTTGCCAAATCTTATTTGGCAAATAGGAATATGCCGAGTACCACTCTCATTCAGTGCATGTGTCATCAGTCAACAGCCAGCTAATAAATCTGATGATAACTTTGGCTTTACTTGATAAAATTTACTCATATGAAATAAGTAACATAGGTGTGTGCACACATGTGTGTATGAATGTAAAATCATACACATAAATTTTATAGTGTTGTATCAGATCAAAACGTTTGTTACAACGTAAGTGAAGAGAACATTACTAAAATTGATGACTATGTACTTTTATTTACCCCTTGGGAATCCACTGAGCTATCGGATTCCACAGTAAATATGTTTGGATTAAGATCACCGCAAGATGTTTGACAGCAATTTCAAATTATTAGAGTTTATTACATATTTAAAGTCTGCAGTCAGTTGAGATCGTATCTGATTTTAGTTTGGAGAGATTAATCTATTGATATTTTGTTCCAAGATCTATATCCTCAGTGCTGTACAATTACCATGCACTCTATAAAAACCGTACACCTTCTTGGATGGTCTGGAATGTGGTATGATGCTCAGTGCTTCTGCTTATGCCGAACTCGGTTAGAATCATGAATGCAGAGATAATATGCTCCATATGCGTATAGTAGAACCTCCAGGCTTATGTACAGATTGAATCTGCACTAGTTGCAACAGTTTAATATTTAAGGATTGGTTCCTTAGCTTTGAACATTGTTATTTATAGTGTTTATTGTGATTCTGCTGTGTCTGATCCTGGAAAATCATGGAAAGAGAAATATTTTCAAGGGAAGTTTAATTTCCCTTAATCTTCTTAAAAAATGGAAAATGTCTTTTTTTTATATGAAACTAAAATGTAATCCTATCTTTGACACATGTAGAATCATTCAAGTATAGCAACAACAAAAATTATAATGAAAAACAGTGATATTTAAATGTACTAAATGGCATATGAACCCAGTCAGGTTTTCATGATTTATCTGTTTTTAACTTCAAAGACTCTAGTTAGCTTGCATTTTTTTTAAACAAATGAATTTATCACAGCCAGTGAGGAAAATGGTTAAAGAGTATCAGCTGTAAATTGGTACAAAGCACTAAAAGGGACATTAGCCTCTAATCAGATTCTAACAGTTCATTAAACCTGCTTTTCCAGAATCGCTCTTTGTCTTTTCCCCTCCTTTGCAAGGCATCTCCTTTCCTTTTCCTCTGGGCAAGACCTCCTCTGGGTAAGAAGCAATATCAGCTCATCCTTCATTGTCTACCAACCACACAGCCCCGGGGATGCTTTGTTAGGGTGGATTCCTAGCTGTTGTGAAAGTCTGGGCAGTTGAGGGCTGCCAGCGCAGGAAGGCTTTCCTGAGGCTGGGAGGTGGCAAGCCAAGCTGGCCGCTTCCAAGCAGGGAAGTAAGTGACACATTGGGATTTGAGATCCCTGCCTGATGTGTAAACAACTCACCAGCCTCCGCAAAAGGATTTTAAGCTTGGAACAAATGCACTGAGCTCACCAGTAATACCATAGTGCCTTCTGTTCTAAGCTATTGGGATGCAAAATCCCTAACAAATATGGACAAGTCAAAAGCAAACATTTAAAAAAAATGTATTCTGCCAGTTTTAATAATATTGTACATTTCAAAGAGGGGAACATGACAGTAATTTTTTTATTATTACCTAACAGACTAGGTAGGATGGAATTTTTAAATGCTCATCAGTTAGCTCAGTTAGAGCGTAAATTTGCCTTTTCTTCTTGCTGTTGATTTCTCTGAGCAAATATTTGTGATAAGAGGCCCTATACAATTTTATGTCTTTAGAGTATTTTTCTTAAAAAGGAGAGTCAAAAGAAATAGGAGAAATAATTAGAGCTTCACTACACTGCACCCTGTTGGCACTATTTGGTAATAAAAACATTTAATTTATGATGTGTTGAAGTGGGAGTTGTTTTTATTTAACTGTCTGTTGGGGAGAAAAACAACTCTATGATAAAGTCAAAAGCCTGAAGGTTTATAAGTGCTATTAACCTTTGTCACAGTGTAGGCCAAATATTTAGAAACATATCTCTCTTTTAATAAGACCAGTTTAGGGTCATGTGGTTACATTCTAGTATTGAGTGAAGAAACCATTCTAGAAGCCCAGTCAAATTTGGTCATTTTACTTTATTGGTTTAGTCGGTGTTCGAGGGTACCTTGGCATCTTTGGCATGTTTTAAAATGTGAGCCTGATTTTGGCCTGAAGCAAGCACAGATGTGTGGCTTTCCGAGTCCCTCACTGGGTTATTGACTTCAGAAAATCCCCACAGCAGTGGAAATCAGTCGAAAATAACCTTGATTTAATCTGTTTATAAATGTTGTTTGAAATTCTATTGAGCCACGATAGAAATAAGGTTTTCCTTTCAAGAGGTGGTACATGGAGCCAAACATATACCAGAACAGAAAACAAATTGTCATTTATTTGGTTATAACTTTAACTTAAGATGCACTCTTAATCCAAGACTTCTGTTAGCTGCTTCTAAAGGAGATATCTGAGGTTAAGAGGTAGAAATTTCCATTTGATCAGATTTGCTCTGATACCATAATTCACTGTCTAGTATTACATTATCTTGTTTTTAAAATTATTTAGACTTCAACAGTAATATGAGAGTGTATAAATTTCCTCCTTTATGGATTTCTGTATGCAGTACGACCTCCAGAACTAAGGAAGAAAGAAACTTGCCTCATATTTCCTTCCACTATTGCAGAAGTCTGATGAATTATTCCAGCCCCATATAAATTAATGTAAGGTTTCCTTACTCCAGTTTATTACTGTCTGACCTCCAACCCAGAGGTCAGAGAATCAGGCTGATTAATTCAGGTTCTTGGTCATTATTTCAAATGGAAGTTGGGAATGGCGGGATAATGCTGCTACTCTCACTTAATTATACCTCATTGTTAAAAAATTAGGTTAGCAGCACTAAATGTACTACAGTGAAGGAAAACTCTACCAGATGTCCTCTTTTGGATGCTTCCTAGCTGAATTCCCCTCTCTTCTTTTTTATTCTCAGAATATCAACACCTTTGAGAACAGAATGTTAATGCTTGATGGGATGCCGGCAGTCAGAGTCAAAACAGAGCTTTTGGAATCTGAACAAGGGGTAAGCACAAGTGTCCGACGACCCCCCACCCCCTTTTCTCTAAGATAGTGGCGGACATTTCCAGAGGGTCCTGGGGTTTGCGGAACCCTTCTGATTTTTCACTTGCTCAAGCTTTTCTCTCTTGTGTCAAAATCATGGGAGACCAAGGTTGATTCTCACCCATTTGCAACCTCAAATATTACTAACTTAGGAAAGAGCTTCCTGAAGTTAGGAAGGCACAGTGACCTTAGAAGAACCATGTGGCTATATTTAAATGAAGGTGTTACTAAATTAAAAGTTAAACGCTATTGGAACGCTATTAAAAATCCAAAAGCAAAGAGGAAGTATCACAAAATAAGATGGGACTATAACCTCAATGTCAAGATAGGTCGGTTCTAAGTTAGGAAATTACGGAGTTCAGGTATGGGACTGTTACTGTTTGTTTGCTGGATTTCTCTTTTGACATTTGTATTTACCCTTTTTCACAGTTAATGAAATTTAGGTCACTGAGTTTGAAAAGTACATAAGAGCAAAAGCAAGCTTGTTGAACAATAACATAGCCAAATTGACAAATTAATTTATGGCGACTGAAAGTATAAAGACTTAAGAGCACAGCTAGGTTTTTTTTTTTAAAGAGGACGTAGGTGATTTTATAATTGTTAACATTATAGCTTCCCTAGTTAAAATCGTCATCGGTACAATGTGATTGCTTGCAGCATTGGCTGGCGACCTTTTGCATTTAAGGGAGAAAGCCCTACCTACCTGTCTTGTTAAAGCACCGTGACTGAGGCAGTGCACGTGACCCAAAAAAAAGGACATCAATTAAATAACTATTTAATCTGAATCTTATCAGTGTATCCCTTAGTCAAAAAAAAATTCAAAACAAAACATTAGCAATGTTTTGTAATTGAGCAATCAAAAGATATTTTAAATGTGAATAAAATCTCACTGTTAACAAAAATCAGTATTTGTGAATTCTTCTGGGACCTATTTCAGAGGTTAGGATACTGATGTACCGAAAGGATTTCATAATGAGGACATCTGAGGGCAAGGATGTCGATGGTAGTAGCATTTAGAGGGTTTCTCCAGTAACTTACCCGTTCTGGAGCATCGTGTGGTAGGGTGTATGGCATCTCGTAGTACACTGCTCTTTGGTATAAGCCAGCGCCTGAAACAGACCCCCCTCATGTAGGGGATATCATTTCATCTTTATGTTCAGTGTAGACCGTGGTAGCTCTGAGATGAACTTTGTGGAGTATGTCGACCAAAAACACAGCTCTCCAGTTCTCTACGTAATGTAATGACTGACTCACAGAGATCCAACCCTAACCTTAGGCAGTAGAACGAATGTCATGATGGAAAAGACCATATGGCATTTATGAGTATGACTTGTTCATTGTAGGCAAACCTTCAGAAAAAGTCACGTGTTCACCTAGATTTTCTAGCCTGACACACATAAACTCTGTATCCTCCAAACTAAGTCTCTTTTTTTTTAACCTTTAGTGTTTAACCTAACCAGAGAAGGATGTGTTTTATTTCCTCAGAGTTCTCTTTTCTTAATCTGAATGCAAGAGCATCAGCTTGATAAAATAAATTTCTACACACCCTGTGTTTAAGTTTAGCAAAACGTACAGACCATAACGTCGCATTTAGAGAAGATAGCCTTTCCCAGTGCTGATGGAAAAGTGAGAACGGTATATTTCACACTGTTGCTTTTATTTCACAATATTTTCTTCAACTTGAAGAGCAGTAAATCTGTTCAAGTCTTACATATTGTAGGAAGACAAAAAAGTACAGAAAACAAGGCAGAAAATACTACCTGGGCTACTACTCGAAGCCAGGATAGCGCCTCGCTGTCCCTAGGCCTGGAAAGCTTCAGTGACATCTAGATACTTCTCTCCCCTTCACTATCATTTTTTAGATTTAAGGTAAGGTTTGCATGAAAGATTTAGGTGCACAAAAAATAAAAGCCAATATTCCCAGGGGTTTTACAGTGTGAATAAGAAACTCATGTCCCATTATTTATAGCAAATACGTTTCTGTCCTAAGATAGGGACGGGAAAAATTGTGGGTTCGTAGGTTTTATTTAATGTGTGTTCATTAAAATCAGTTTTCCTCCTTGTCAGTGGAGCTGAAGTCGGTACTTTAAGCCTAATTTAGGTTGAGTATCTTGAAGAGGAAGAGAAACTTGATTTATTCTTCTTCTTATTTTTGTATGTGCTTAAGTATGTGACAGATACAATTTCATTCTCTTTTATAGTAAAGCTATGAGATGTGCGTACCACAGCATTTAATGAAATGTATTACAACTTTATTGATGGAATCCAATTATTTGCATTTAGTTGTTTGTAATACTTTAAATCAACTCTTCTTTAAAGAGATGAAATCTAGAATTTTAGTGAATTTCATTTTTGGTTCCTTTGCCGGAGTTTTTCATTGGGGTGAATGGGATGGGTGATGGTGCTGTATCATTTCAGCCTCTTAGAACTGTTTTTCAGATGAGTGCTAGATTTCTGGAGATTTCTTGATTTCAGTCTTACAGAACTCTTTTCCTCATTTAGTATTAAAGGCTGGTTAAAGTTTGATTCTTCATAAGAAAATGTAAATATTACTGGAGAAGTTAAAATTATGACAGATGTCATTATGGGCTTTTGAAAAAAGATGAGATGTTAGTTACAGCGAAGAAAAAATTATAGAAATGGATCTGTGCGTCACAGCAGTGAATGGGAAAGCCTGAAGCTGGTGCGCTGGTTATATTCTGTCGTACTCTGGACACCTAGTTTTGAGACTCTTCCACCAGTGTTAGGAAAAGTGAGTCTGCTTTTCAGGCTACGGGCAGCATTGTAAAGATCTACTATTTGACTTTTTTCTTTTTTTTAAATTGAAGTATGGTTGATTTACAATGTTGTGTTAGTTTCTGGTGTGCAGCATAGTGATTCAGTTACCTATATATACACCCAAACATTCTTTTTCATATTCTTATTCATGATAAGTTGTTATAAGTTGATGACTATAGTTCCCTATGCTATACAGTAGGACCTCGTTGTTTGTAAGACCTACTACTTTCCATGGACCTCCTGTCTCGGAGCACCATGGAGCATCTGTTGGTGCTGTCTCTCTTGCTATAAATAGTCCCTTAGGTCTTCAACTGTCAGCTGGTCTCTCCGTGTCCTCCACCCCTCCAAGGAATTCAAGACCTGATGAGAACATCTCAGAGCTTAAAGAAAGACTGTGGAACAGCCCGAGTTTAGCCACTTGGCTTGCTTTCTTCTCTGCAAAGTTATGGCTGTCTTGCCTCCTTCTGTTAAAAGCTTTATGATGTGTATGTGTGGTTCCATCTCTTTAATCAGATCGTAAGCTCTTGGAGGCCAAGAGCTATTTCTTGTATTTTTCTTGGAGTTCTGGCACAGGTAAGTGCTTGGTAGATACTTGCTTTATTCAGCCTGTCCAGGCGTTATAAAGGGTGTGGTGCAAAATATGAAATTAGTCTATAGCTAGTTAGAAACCTGCTTTGTATATCTCATAGGGTTGTCATGAACATAAAAGGAAAAATTGGAAATACTGTTCATAACACGTTCCCGTTGGTGACCATCTTCATCTTGTGGCCTTGAGAACCGGAGAGATAAGGGTGGCTAATTCAGACCACCTCTGGGTGCTTCCTTTTGTTTGGAACCCTTTGTGTTGTGGTGTTCTAGTCGGTTATCATTGCAGGCTCCGGCTCCTGAAACGTGACTTCAGTTGTCTTCAGGCTTGTTGATAACACAGCACTTGCTGCTCCGTGGTCTATGGCCAGGACACGTGTGCTTGTGATGCACTTTGGGAGCACAGCAAGGAGTGTTGGGGTGACTTTGAGACCTCTCGTGCTTGTGTCCTGCTGTGACAAGAGCTTCCCAAATGCTGTCAGCCTTTGGATGTTTGAATGTGTCACTGAGCACAGGGCTAAAGTTTAAAGAGGAAGACTGGAGCCATTCCACCCAGAGACAGTATGCAGAGCACAGGCACCACCTGAGACGGAAAGCGTGATTTTTGTTCCTGGCCCTGCAGCGTACCAGCTGGAATGGCATCGGGGAGCGGCTGCCCACCTCCAGGCCTCTAGGTCTTCATCTGTGCAGTGGGCATGCTGGCGACAAGGTCTTCCAAATTCAGTCTGACACGCTTTGATTCAGGTGCCAGGCAAGGAGTGAGAGAAAGCATTTCCAGATACGGGTCTCATAGTTGAACTGCGATAAAGCTACCTGTGTGTGGAAGCAGAAGTGCACTGACTTTAACGTGAGACACACCTGAGTTCAGATACTGCCTCAGCCAGGTGCTGGCTACGTGGGACCCGTTTGCTCTCCATTCACCTGTTCCCCCTCATCCGGGAAGAGAAGTGAACCAACCATCCTCACAGGAGCCTGCCCACATGTGGTGGATGCTCAATAAAATTCTCCTTTTGAAGAAAAACAGGAATAATAATGGCCCCTTTGCTTCTGTTTCCATGGCTGCAGTTCTCATAGGTATTTAGTGGAGATTTCAACATCCACATTAATTTATAATTCTAAAAGAGAATTTAAGGTCAATCTCAAATCAGAACCTTAATTTTTTATATTTCAGCTTTTATTTAAGTGTACCTGGAGAAATGTTCCAAATTCTGATTAGATTTTATCATGTAGAAAAAGGATAAAGCCAGAAATCAATTATTCTTTCAACACAAAAATGATATAATCATTTGATGTGATAATGGTATTTGGCCATCATTTTTTTAAAAAGGAGTTCTGAGTTTATTTACTTTGAAGGTACTTGTTGGTCTGTTTACAAGTGAAATGCTTTCGTGTCTGGGATTTGCTGCAGAATAAAATGGGCAGGCAGGATGGAAGGGGTTAGAGATGAATGAAATAGGAGTGGTCATGACTCCATCATTATTGAAGCTGGATGATGAGTACGAGGAGGCTTTCATTCTTCTGCCTAATTTTGTAAATGTTCGAAATTCTTTAAAGTAAAATGGCTAAAAAATCTCTTTAAATAAAGATACTAAAAATACA